GAATCCATCCTGGAATGTAATTCACCCAGGCCCAAACACTTGAATCCGTTTAGAGAAGCTTCGTCACATGGAGTTTTCACTCTCCCTTGTCAATGATCATTCTACCCTTTTCAGCGTAAAGATCATTTTCCTGAACAGAAGCAAAATAGGATTTTCAGAGTTCTGCTTTGTCTGTAACATCTATCAGCAGTTCCATCAGTTTCAAATAGTAGATTTACCCCCCATTTTATCTTTTCCTTGCTCAAAACATTAAGTGCCCCAAATATTTCTTAGCAATTCTTGCAAGCTTCTGTTCACTAATGTCTTTGGTTTTCTAGTTGCTATTGTTTTGCAAGTTTAAGCCGCCTTCTTTCATTTGCATTAATTTGACTTCACCTTTCCTGTATTTCTTTTGAAAGTGACATCAGGTTGGCAAAAAAAAAAAAAAAAATTAACTGTTGGAGTTGAGTGATAAGTATAGGGGTTCATTAGGCTAGTCTTACTAGTCTAGAAATTTCCCAAAATAAGAGACAGAGAGAACCCCCATTCTTCTTCATTGGGATGTATTTCCCCCCTAAACTTTCCTTTAATCATTGGGATAATCTGGTTTGAATTAAAGTGTGAATTGCACTTTCTCTTATTCTCCTAATCCTTTTATCTTCCAGCCTAGAATCTGATGCCATTTTTCTTTGACTGTCTTTTCTTTGGACTGTTTGAAATCCACCTATCAAAAGTTTAGGATAGGCCGGGCCCGGTGGCTCACGCCTGTAATCCTAGCACTCTGGGAGGCTGAGGCGGGCAGATTGAGGTCAGGAGTTCAAAACCAGACTGAGCAAGAGTGAGACCCCGTCTCTACTATAAATAGAAAGAAATTAATTGGCCAACTAATATATATAGAAAAAATTAGCCGGGCATGGTGGCACATGCCTGCAGTCCCAGCTACTCGGGAGGCTGAGGCAGTAGGATCGTTTGAGCCCAGGAGTTTGAGGTTGCTGTGAGCTAGGCTGACACCACAGCACTCGCTCTAGCCTGCGCAACAAAGCGAGACTCTGTCTTAAAAAAAAAAAAAAGTTTAGGATATATTTTAATTATGCCTGTTCTTCCTTTCCTTAAGGAATACAAATTTAAAAGGTTATCAAGTTTTCATTTAGGACTAGATTAGTCCCCCATCATCCTTTAGGACAGCGGTGCTCAAAGTGTGGTCCTTGTAATAGCAGAACCAGCATCACCTGTGAGCTTCTTAGAAATGCAAATTCAAGAATCTCTGGGGATGGAGCTTGAGAAACTCTCCAAGTGAGTCATGCATGTTAGAAAACCACTACTCTAGAAGAAGAGACCATTTCAATACAAAAATTTTCAGATCATGTACTTTTAGCCAAATGTGATTTCCATCAAGTGCCTAGACACTGGGAGTCTCTCATATTTCTGTACCAATTAACCTTTGTGACTGTCTTGTATCTGCAACTCATCAACCTGTCCCTTGGCCAGATGGCATACAGTATACTTCCACTCCTCTATCTATTTCCTGTGTCTCTCTCCTTTTAGTTTCCATTTGATGGTGTTCAGCATCCTTCCACTCTCAGGATCTCAAGTCTCAGTGCAGGTATATAATTTCTTGCCATATCACACTATTACATTTTTCCTTTTAACAAATCTGAGCCTTATAAAAAAGACTTATCCTTCCACTGTTACATTCCAATGGTAAGCCCAAACCCAGAAAGTCACCATGAGATATATATTACTCTCATTTATAACCTCAACTTTATCATTCAAATTTTCTATGCCCTTATACACTTTGGAGACTAAGCATTGTGTCCCATTACTTTCCATACTGTTGTCTTTTGTGAATCCCTGAATACTCCCTCTATTTATCCTGCATACTGTGTCTTACTTGATGTCTAGCAGTGTTTCATCAGTTAATCTGCTTATTGTTCTCCTCCTTACCAGTATTCAGTTTAAAGCAGTCCTGACCAGATCAGCTAGTTCTTAGGAAAACACATTCGGGAGATATAATTCATCCCTCCTTCCATACTCTCCCAAACTCAATAGAAAATGATGATCATTATACTAATTGCAGACTTTCCCTCCTAAGCTTTTTAATTAATCTTTTTATAATGATGATAAACAAAACCTATGACTATAACCAGAAAGGGATTGGTAGGACCAGAAATATGGATGGTTTGATATAAATTTTATAGTTTAATTTTTAAAAAAATATTTTACTGGAGGTCATCCCTTTGTTCTTTTGTAAACAGGAATATAATAAATATCACCACAGTGATAAAATATTATTTGCTTTCAAATCAATATATCTGTGGTCACAATTTACTTCTTAGAAGTAGAAAAAAATCAAATCATTCAAACTGAATCAATTGTATATTCCACTCTGAATTATGAGATAACTATCACCAATCGGTTCCACATATAGTATAATATGTTTGTTCTACACATAGACAAATAAGTTATAAGTTAAAAATGTTTATATGATGTAAACTGAAAGCCACAATGTAGAAAATGGTACTAGAAAAGTCACAGAATTTATATTCAAAATCCACAAATCTTCTGAAGACATGTGTAACTAGTTTAAATTGGGATGTATAACAAATAAGTAGTTTAAAAAGCAATCTATATCCAGTCCAGCTTGCACAGCATATCTCAACTCCAGAGTAGTGATAAAAGATGGCAATAAAAGAAAATAACAAAGCATGATAATAAAAGAAGATCACAAAGAGAACCATAAACACAATTTTCTGAAGAAATCTGGGATACAAAGTGTATACTGCATATAAAACTGTATATTTCTTGAATAATTATTATTCTTAGGAAATGAATGGGTAAAAATATATTACTCATTAATACAAATAAAACACTAAAAACACACTAAACTGTAGAAATCTATTAATTCTTCAATAACTGGAATAGTCACATATTTCTGCTAAATAGTTTATTAGTTAAAATCAGTTACAAAACATAGAGTTTAAGTAGAACTTTACTATTTTTAAAAACAGCATCGTCTGATCTCGGAAGCTAAGCAGGGTCGGGCCTGGTTAGTACTTGGATGGGAGACTGCCTGGAAATACTGGGTGCCATAGGCTTAAAAAAAATAACTAAAGGCCGGGCGCGGTGGCTCACGCCTGTAATCCTAGCACTCTGGGAGGCCGAGGCGGGCGGATTGCTCAAGGTCAGGAGTTCAAAACCAGCCTGAGCGAGACCCCATCTCTACCATAAAAAAATAGAAAGAAATTAATTGGCCAACTAATATATATATATATAAAAAAATCAGCCGGGCATGGTGGCTTGTGCCTGTAGTCCCAGTTACTCAGGAGGCTGAAGTGGGAGGATCACTTGAGTCTAGGAATTCAAGGTTTCAGTGAACTGTGAACAGGCCACTGGACTCTAGCCTGGAAGACAGAGCAAGCCCCTGTCTTTAAAACAAAGAACAAACAGAAAACCCAGCATCTTCTATTTCTAATATGGAATATAAGTGTACAATAATATTAATATTGTTAAAATCATCAAAAGTAATAAAAATGGATAACGTAAAAAGCTTTGAGAGGAAGTGTTTGGTGATAAGATATATAACCACATTCAGAAAATATACTTCTTATTCCTATTTTTGTTACTCAAGCGCTACAACTTTTTGTGAGTCACTAAGCTTTCTCTCTACCAAAATTGGACCCTAAAGAAGCCCTGTGAGAAACGCTTTGATGATTGACCAGAAAATGACTCTGTTTATAAAGCCAATATATTGTCATTATGACATCCTTTATTTTTCCATTTGCTCAGTTATCTTGTCATCAATAGAGCTACTACTTAAAATCATTCTACTCTTTTTCCCTTTCCAGCTCTTCTCTATCATTCTATCCAGCTTCAATAACCTTCAGCCTATTTGAGGATAACAAACATGCTCAACCAAAGAAAGTGATGGTTTTAAGAGCTAATATTCTGGGGATGTTTTGGGATTCTTAGGGGAAAGAGATCTCAAATATAAATGGATATGTTTATTACTCACAGTTGTAATTTGAGATTACAAAATTTCTCACTATGCTTCATTTATAGATATTAACAAACAGCTTTATGTTTTTGTGTCAGTCTTGACACACAAGAATGTTACATTCTCATAATATAACATTACATTACAATGTGACGGTAATGTAAAGTAACGTGATGTAACATAATGTAACAATGACTACTTTTTTTTTCACTTAAATAAAAATGTTAAAAAAAACATGAGGTGATTTCTCTCTCTTTTATCATTGACTAAAAAAGGTGCCATCTTTTTACATTTTACTCCAGAGAATAAGAAGATTCATAATTGAAATAATCCTATCCTAGGACTATTACAAAATGCACATATCCTCCTCAAAAGATCTCTGGAGACCTGGTCAAATCTTTCTCTGACCATCATGCTTCACACACAGCTAATGCTCAATAAATGTAAGCCATTTAATGAGAGCCTTTTAAAAAGATGGCAGTCCTTATCACTAATTTGAACCGATAATTATTTTTCATTCATTCACTCAAAAAGTATTTATTAAGCAGCTACACATTGCTTCAATCATTCAATAAGTACACAAAATGCAAAAAATAGGCCGGGTACAGTGGCTCACTCCTGTAATCCTAGCACTCTGGGAGGCCAAGGTGGGTGGATCATTTGAGCTCAGGAGTTCGAGACCAGCCTGAGCAAAAGCAAGACCCCATCTCTACTAAAAATAGAAATAAATTAATTGGACAACTAAAAATATATAGAAAAAACTAGCCAGGCATAGTGGTGCATGCCTGTAGTTCCAGCTACTCAGGAGGCTGAGCCACAAGGATTGCTTGAGCCCAGGAATTTGAGGTTGCTGTGAGCTACGCTGACGCCATGGCACTCTAGCTTGGGCAACAAAGTGAGACTCTGTCTCAAAAAAAAAAAAAAAAAAAAAAGCAAAACATATGGTAAGGAATATTTCTACATTCCCATTTTTCAAGAAATTCCTAGTATTCATTTGATATAGTTTTATATGCACAAATGATCTTACCTCTCTTACCGACAGCTGTGGTGGGAAGGAGACTGATAATACCAAGTTGGTGAATTCAAACCCAGAGGCCTCAACCTTTTGGCACACCTAAAAAGGTATTACAAATATGTAAATTCCCAGAAATTGCTGGAAATAGTACTCTAATCTTCATAACATGAAATTCTGGCCCAGGAGATGACACTGCAAAACTTCTAAACTTTCACATCTGATTGAAGAACTCTCACAAATGCCCTGAGATTAAATATTTGCTACCCCAAAACTATTAAAGACTACTATCACAAGATACCAAAACAGCCAGGACTGACACCTGCAGAACAATCTGTGTTAAAATAGTTTTCTATTAGGTCACCTCATAATTTTAAGATGTTTTCAAATAACATAAAGCCAAATATAGCACTCTTGATAGCAAGAAACAAAAGGCAATCCCTCATTCAATCATTTACCTTCTACAAGGCTGTACCACTTTCTAGACAATAATAGGTATGACTAAGATCTTTTCTCTAACTCCTTAGCTATGCTAATAGCAAAAGGAAAACAAACATATTTTTCTTCAATTATATAGCACTCATAACTGAAATACATGGAGACTCATTTCACCAACTTTCAGATATATTAATAAAAAATAACTTCAGATTAGTAGGCTTTTGGTTTTTTAAAAAAAATTGAGAAAATATTTTAATGATCCGGTTATATGAAACAAGTTGAAATGAATGTTTCTTTTGATACAAGAATTCTTGGTCTTAGGACCGCAAACCTCTACTAATTGCACCTATATTAAAAAACATGTTGTTTACCTTTTTAATAAAATCTTTTTCACAGAATTCTTGAAGAATTCCTAGGCATACATTGCAAACATTTAAATTTGAGTTCTTGGAAGCAATGCTTCCATCTTCAATAACAGAGAGCCTTCCCTCTCCATTTTGATTCATATTATCATTTCTATCTTCCAGTTCTTGTAGTCGAATTTTCTTGGGAGGTGGGTTTGGAACTTCCAAAATTAATTCATCTTTTCCAGTTTTCAGAAATTTTCGTAGTTCATTGAGCAACTCCTGGAAAGTTAATAAAAGAAAAAGTAATAACCCTTTAACAATACCCTTAAGGCTTTCCAGTTAAGATGAAGCATGAAAACATGAGTGAAAATTAGGACATATCAAAGTCTTGTACTATGTTGATTTATATCAATTCTGGAGCAATCAATTTATTTTATTAGTCAGCATTAGCTTTCTAGGAAATTTAAAAGAGAATTACCTAACTCTATTATATACGGGTGAATATTTTTTCAAAAGATCTCCATATGTCAGTGAAGCTAAAGTCTTAAATCTTTAAAGCAGAAAGGCTCCACTAACAATTTGGTTTGTAGTTCTGGTGCAAGGGTCATTCACTTGCTGATTTCAGTAAAAACAAACTTCAATTCTAATCATTAACATAAAAAGACAAACTGAATTTCCAACCTTGCTAGTTTATTTAATAATTTCATAATCACTAAAATCTCACAAGTATAATATTTAATATGAAATCTGATCATTAGGGTAGAAGTCTATAAAGTAAAAACAATTTTGGAACAATTTATAAACAAGATATACAGATGCTGACAATGCTGAAATTTGGCACCATAATTACAAATCATTTATATGTGTTATTTGAAAGAAGCACTCTACTACATTCTGGTTTGTCTTATTTCTATCATTCCTTATATTGGAATGTAAAAATTACACTCCTTTGAAACCATTCTCATAGTTCACCCATTCATCTAAATACTCAGAGGATTTTCCTCTGCTTTGTCTACATTAGACAGGGTTTATTATTCAGTTCTTGAATAAATATCCTTTTGAAATTCATTCGGATTACAATTTACTGACTCTAAAGGGAAAGAAATCTTTCAGTCCAACAAATTTAATTCATTTTATTGAGAAATTAGCTCTTCTGTTTTAACAGAGAAATATACATATATACATATACAGATATATTATGACCCACACAAATGTTTATTATTAACTAAGATCTATAATATCAGTATATCGGAGTGCATATACAGATGTACATATACATATATTATAGAATAGTACAGATAAAAACTTAACATTTCAAAAAATTGTCTTCAAATATTCTTATATATTTCTTTACGTAAAATGAAACAAAGTTGATAACACTCAGTCTCTTTATATAATATATATTTTAAATCTTAAATAAATGTAGCATAAAGATAATAATGAGTCTGAAAAAATATGTAAGGAGGGTTACACAAAACTAGTCTCATTACTTTTAGTTATTTAGTGTATAAATGAATATACACAGATATATTAATCATCATAGCATATGTACCATTTTCAGTTTTCAAAGTATTTCCACATACTTTATTAGATATTGTCCCTTAAAATCCTGTGAGGTAGATGTTATCATCATTCCCATTTACAGAGGAGTAAACTGAAGCTGGAAAGTGGTGGAACTGGGATTCAAATCCATGTCTTCTAGCTCCAAATCCTAGGCTTTGAATTCAGACAGACTGTTCAAATCCTAGCTTGCTCACTTAATAGCTGTGTAACTTTGGGCAGGTTGCTTAACCTCTCTGTGCCTCAGTTTCTTCATCTGAAAATAGAGACAATCATAGTATGTACTTACCTAATAGGTTATTATGAGGATTATATGAGAGCTTGACATATAGTAATGCAAACTGAATATTGGGTACTATTATTTCCAAAATAATAGAAACAACTAATTACGTTTTTTTAAATGTTTGCTATTGCTAACTCCTGGGCAATCTTTAAAATTACAAGAAACTGAATATGTGTATATGTATACACACACTGTTTATACATGTATATATTTACATATATATTATTACTATCTGTCTCTGAAAAGAATATCACTATTAGAATCAAACATATTTTACAAATATGTTATATATCTTATGTAAAAGTATTCTGTTAAATGTCAAAGCTCTCTGTATATTACCATAAATGTCAGAGATCTCTGTATATTACTTTTGTTGTTATTAATAGCAGAAATGATGATGATAAGCATTTACTTCTAGAGGGTTCAAAATAATAATGGTAATATAGAAAATAGAAAAAATGACAACAAAAAAGGCAACCATATCCACAATGCTTCCACTTAAAAGAAGATATTGGCTGGTCCGAAGGTAGTGAGTTATCTCACGTGATTGTTCACAGTCAGTTACAGATTGAACTCCTTGTTCTACTACTTTCCCCCCTCCTCACTACTGCACTTGACTAGTCTTAAAAAAAAAAAAAAAAAAAAAAGAAGATATTAAGACTATTAATTACCCCCTTCTGTTATATCTTACTAATATTTGGTGAGAAGCAATATTTTATAGTATTCTGTTTAGATACCCTTTAGGAAAGGTCTATACAAACATTAAGTGTACCAGGGAATTCCTCCACAAAGATCCCACCACACTAAATGTTAGATAGACATAATCACTTAAGAAGGAACTTACATTTCTGAGATGAATTTTTTTTAAGGTAATGGCAATTCCACAATTACCACCAGTAATTATTTTGTTATAATTTTTAATTTTAAGAAGAGTTATGGATAGATATTTGCCCTCAGAAGTGCAAGTATTCATTGCAAAATACAGAGAACTTATCTTAACTTAAAAAAAAATGAAAATACCTCATATGGAAGTTTGTAAGGTGCATGGAAATCCACACCACAGAATCTGAAGATACATCTTGGACAGGTACCAGTATTGAACAACAACCGGGCCACATGCTTGTTTTCCTCAGTCAGTGGAAACATATTGAATAATTATAACTAGAACAAAAAGTAAAACTAATGAGCAGCTTCTGTGTTTTACTGTCACAGACAAATATGTCATCACTTTAGGGATAAAAACTAATTTTTATTTGAAAAACACTGTTTTGTACTCTCCTTCCATTATATGAACACTCTAAAATATAAACTTGAAGGAAGTTTATAAAATGGATCAGAAAAGGATTCCAATTGTCAAGGAATTTAGTTTAGCATTCTAGATTATCATAAAGTACATCAATATAACTAAGTTGGTTAAAAAAACAAAAAATGGTTGTCTCTGACGGTAATGAAAACAAAAATACAAAGTAAAATCCTTTTGTTCCATTCAGTATTGGGAACACAGTTAATTCATTAAAATTTTCTTATTAGAAATTAAAAATAAGTTTGCTAGAAAAAATCAAATCAGTCCATATTGTATAATACTTGACTAACTTTAATGATAGTTTAGCAGTCTAGTATTTAAAACAAATTGGTCAGTTGGTCTAAAAACATCAACTTTACTTTGATGACATAATGTTTATGGCAACCAACTCTTAGCAAAATGAGAAAAATCTGCTCCTTTCATCCACAGGTATCCAGCAGGAACAAATTAAGTGCAAAATATTTGCGGGAAAATATTTGCCTAATTAAGTTGCCAATTTTTGCAAGTTGAACAAACTCACGTTAAAAAATACTATATAGAGAATGAGAGGAAATACAATGTAAGTCTTTTGTTGCCAGGACAGAGGGGTACTAAAAATTCAAATTACCTACTCACTCTATGTTTGGCAAAAATAAATCTGGTCTGGGCCAGGTGGCTCTTGCCTCTAATCCCAGCACTTTGGAAGGCTGAGGTGGGAGGATCACTTGAGGCCAGGAGTCTCAAGCTGCAGCCTATGATGGCAGCCACTGAACTCCAGCCTGAGCAACAGAGCAAGACCTGTCTCAAAAAAAACCCAAAAAAACAAAACAAAAAACCACAAACAGATCTGATTAGTAAAACAGTCCACATTACCTTAAAATGATGAACTGTCAGTATTTTATAAAACTAGGATTGCATGGCAACCTTGTGGCATGGTATAACTGTGGTCATATAGATATAAGACAGTGGCACCTTTTAATTTGTGCAGTTTCATAATTTACATGAAACTTACTTAAAATTTGTGGAAGGGTAAACTCTTAACCAACAGCTTACTATGGAGCTGTGATTCTTATAGTCTATGTTTTCCAGCCCTTTAAAACTCACTACTTGCTTGCAAGTTTCTAAATATTTGCAGTAACTTACCAAGAGAAGTAGATCCTTGACACAACATAATGAAGAAGACAGGTATATAATTCTATAGAACTCTTCCCCATAAAAATCAGTTCAGTAGCCAGTACTACAAAAAATAGATTGCCTCTGGCTGGGTTGTATGGACACACCAGTGAGAACTTTCAGACATCATGATTGGTAAACACTTATTTAGGGTTCCCCAAGTAAATGTGGGCTCCAAGTTATTTTCAAGTAAGTGTACAGAATATGTGAAGAACGCCCTCTAAATAATGAAGCTCTGTGTGGTCACTATTATTTACAAGTGCTCTAATTTCTTCCCTCAGCCCATTTAACCTGTTAGTTTGATGCAGAGAAGGGATTGAGATTTTGTAAGGGAGTAAATATAAGGATTTAAAGTACATCCCTGACTACACCTCCTCACAGAGAAACTGTTTCTGCCTAACTCATTAAGTTATTTTTTCTTCTCCTTTCCATTAGTTAAGATCAAGGATTTTATTTAAATCAGAATTAACTTTTAACTCAAAAAGAGAAACAAATACACCCTCCTCCAATAAACAAATCAATGAGCAAGTGCTTTAAAAGGACACTTTGTAGCAAAGATTTCCCCGGAGACTCAAATAGCTACATTAAAATTTATGTTCTTTTCTTTGGTTAAAGACTCAATGGTCTTAGCCAAGTGGCTCAAGCCTGTAATCCCAGCACTTTGGAAGGCTGAGGCGGAAGGATCACTTGAGTTTGAGTTTGAGACCAGCCTGAGCAACATGGTGAGACGACGACCCCGCCCAGGTTCTGCAAAAAAATCACACACAAAAAAAATAGCTGGGCGTGGTGGCCTGCGCCTGCAGTTCCAGCTACTCAGGAAGGTGAGGTGGGAGGATTGCCTCAGCCCAGGAGTTTCAGGTTGCTGTGAACTATGCTATTGCCACTGCACTCCAGCCAGGGCCACAGAACAACACTTTGTATTCGCCCTCCCCCACCCCCTCGCGCCAAAAAAAGACTGTTTCTTTCTCCAGTAGGTTCACTAGAATAAAGGTATCATGCATAATCAATAAATGACACATTACAATCTCCTTGGCCGAGGTTCCTAAACCTGTTGAGAATTACAAAAGCTCTTCTGAGTAATTTGAAGAGGTCTTAAAAAAAAAAACAAAACCTTCTTGAATGTGTGTGTGCGTGCGTGTGAATAATTGAACTACGGATTTACAAACCTTTCAACATCCTTTTTACCTAGCAACAATCTAGCGACTTCCCCAGCACGATAACATTGAAGGAGAGAAAATGTTACGCCCTAAATTTGGTTGTTTCCTCTTGATGTAATGTTAGGATTTCATAAAATATCAGAAATCAGTTGTGCCATATCTGATGTATTATCTTTGAAAGCAAGCTCTGAGACATGCATCCCACATTGTAAGTTTTCCAGTGTTGGTTGTGGTAGTTAAGATTTCTGACTTTTGTTCATGTGTTTGTTTTACAGAAAGAACAAGTTGCAACAAAACTGACTCCCACATGTCAGGATCCCTACTGGATTGAATCCCTTCTCCACAAACCAACGATAAGCAGCCCAATCTCTGGTTTACTGGAGGAGAGTAAGGACTTTCTGTTCACCTGTTGGACGATTACAAAAACCATTCATGGAAAACGAAGGGAGAAGCAGGCATGAGAAAAACCACCAAAATGACCAGATTGACTAACATCTTGAGATTTTTTTAAAAACCTCTTTCCATACAGAAGGATGTCATTCGTCCTGTAGCACGGGGGTGAGGTGTGTATTTCCAAGAAAGGAGATCACAACTTCACTGGGCTCCCGATACACTCAGCTATCGAATCTACAGTGGACTCTTGAATTCAAAAGTTCGTCCCAAGGTCTAACCTCCAGCCTCTGTTTTGGCCAAGTAAGCCCTCATCCCTTCGGTCAGGTCCCAGAAACTTCTTACTCACCCCTCCTAGCCAACAAAGCCGCTCCAGCAGGAGGGAAACGAACCCTCCATACCCACCTCTCCAGCACCCAGTCAGTACCCCTCCAATCTCAGACCTGCCAGCCTCACCTTCTCCCAAGACGCTGGAGCCAGAGATTTAACCCCTTCTGGCCCTCAGAGGGAACAGGGAAGAGTAAAGACAACGCACCTATTGCGTCTAGCAATTCGGTTCCCCGAGGAAACGAGAGCTTTAGAACGAAAGTACCAGACCTCTCTCATAAAAACTAAGTGACCTTTCCATACCCGTTTGTAGGGAAATCTGTAAAACTCCCCGGCTTGCTGCCTCACACCCCACCTAACCTGCTAGAGTAGCAGTGTGGAGGGGTTTACTCCCGGCCTGACCGGTCAACTCCCAGAGAAGCCTCAGAGAAGACTCCGACGTCTAGGATATTGTAGCCGCTGTCAGAAATATCGATGAGTTTACAACAGGTTTACAACAGAAATTCTTTCTGGGGCAAATAAAAAGACAGCGTGTCCTCCCATAAATTAGTGGCATCCTCCTGGCCTCTGCTCCCAGCTGGCAAAGCACCGCAAGCCCTGTCCTGACTGCAGGGGTGGGCGGGGTGGAGGACTCGGTGTTCCGCCCTTTGCGCCTGGCGCTCGAGGTGCTAGCGTACTTGGGCCTGGACAGTCCGGGCCAGGAGCGGGAGCAGAGCGGAGGTGGAGATGGCCTCCCAGCCGCCACCTCCCCCGAAACCCTGGGAGACCCGCCGAATTCCGGGAGCCGGGCCGGGGCCGGGGCCAGGACCAGGCCCCACTTTCCAGTGAGTGTGAGATTCTTCAGGCTGGGAGTTTGGTGGGCCGGAGCGAAGACTTGGCAGGAGGCGGTTGAGGCCGTTGTTGGGGGAGGTATTCCCTCCCCCCTCAGTCAGCCCCCAACCTTGGGGGTGGGGGTTGAGGTGGAGCCGGGGCCCTTACCGTGAGGATTTCGGTGTCTGACAGCTGTTTCTGACCCGGCAGCTCGCGACAGCGACGTTTTTTCGGGAGCGCCTGATCGCCTCTCTGGGTCCCTGTGCTTGGAAGAAAGGGTGGCGACTTCCTGTCCCTTTCTGTTTGCAGGACACTGACAGAACTGTTGGACCCCCCCCCCCCCTTTAACGCTTTAAGACTTTTGGTCTGTAGCACTTGAGAGCGGAGTTTGCCCAGCTTCGGCATCGATAGGGAGCAGTGAAAGCCAGAAGGGTTTTACGCCAACTGGACCCAAAGTCTATATGCTGTGTGTTCTTTTCCAGCATAATTCAGCTAACGTTTCGGATTGAGATTTGGAGAAGCAACTTTAAAGCAGGAGTTCTAACTCTCCAGCCCATCGAAACCCTTTGTGTGCAAAATAGTGTAGTTTTCTGAGGCCTATGGTTTTTTGTCTGTTTTGTTTTTAATCTGTATCAAATGGTTCTACAACTTTAAAAAGGTTAAAACCTACAGAGATAGAGGAGTTTCAAGGCCTTGTCTATTTTGTGTTTGCATCTGGACATCTTAATTCAGATGATGTGACTCGAATGTTAAATCACCTGCTGTTGTAGGTTTTCCTAACGCTTAAAAATCCCCAACGTATTGGAACATATTTCTCTATGTTCTGAAATCTTTCCTTTAAACGCTAAAATGTGTTAACACAATAACTACTTAATTTAATAATGATAGATACATAATTAATAAGCTTTAATGACACTGTTATAAGCCAGGGAGACATTTTCTGCTTCCTTTTTTATGAGTGTTTCTTTTTCATTTGGACTGTTCGTTGGACAATAGAGGTTTTATTTTCGTATCTGTTAAAGTTCTGTTTATGTAAAAGTAACCATTTCCCCACTTTTTGATTATGAAATATTTTAAACACATAGAGATTAATAAAGTGAGATAATACCTGTGTATTCAACACCCAACTTTGAGAAATATTAACGTGCCAGATTTGCTTCAGATGTTTTTTTAAAAAAGAGAAACAGTTAAATCCTCCCATTCTTCTTTCCAGTGGTAATAACTATTGTTCCCGTTTGGTGTTCAGTGTACTCAATAATATTTTTATACTTTAGTACTTACGTTTGTGTGTATTATATGTATTTTATATTTAAAGCTTAAAAACATAATATATACTTATATATTATTTATAATTATAGATTGTATATTATTTTATATATGTTTTTCCTATTTTCTGTTGCCCACTTTTCTGTTGGTTTTATCTTTGCTAAATTTGTAAGAGTACTTTATTGTTGATAATCCTTTTTTATTTGTATATTTTGCTAATGTCTCTCACTCTGTGGCTTCTCTTCTTTATGTTCAATTTTTCGTACAGATGTTTTTAATTTTAATACAGCCAAAATTGTCATTTCTTTTTGTTGTACTTTTTGTGTTGATTAAGAAATCCTGGCGGGGCGTGGTGGCTCATGCCTGTAATCCTAGCACTCTGGGAGGCAAAGGCCAGCAGATTGCTTGAGGTCAGGAGTTCGAAACCAGCCTGAGTAAGAGTGAGACCTGTCTCTACTATAAATAGAAAGAAATTAATTGGCCAACTAATATATATAGAAAAAACTAGCCGGGCATGGTAGCACATGCCTGTAGTCCCAGCTACTTGGGAGGCTGAGGCAGGAGGATTGCTTGAGCCCAGGAGTTTGAGGTTGCCTTGAGCTAGGCTAACGCCACAGCACTCTAGCCCAGGCAACAGAGTGAGACTATCTCAAAAAAAAAAAAAGAAAAGAAAAGAAATTCTTTCTGCCTAGATCAGGAAATTTTTTCACTATATTTTCTTTTAAATGTTCTGGTTTTCATATTCATATCTTTAACCCACCTGGAACTAACTTTGTTGTACAAAAGACAACATGAAGTAGGGAATCTAAGTTTTTTTCCATATGAATAACTAATTGTCCCAACACCATTTATTGAGTAGTCTATTCCATCCTACTTTGGAATGCCATCTATCTCATACAAGTTTTCTTAAATGTATGGTTCTGTTTTAGGCCCTTTCTGACATGTTCTGTTGGTCTATTTGTCTATTCTCAAGCTAGTACCACACTGTCATAATTACAGTTTTGTAATGTTTTGGTATTTAGTATGTCAGGAGTCTCCACACATTGCAATTCTTCAAAATTGCCTTTGGTATACTTAACCTTTATAAAAAGACTTACTGGGATTTTTATTGGAACTTTGCTAATTTATAGATCAAGTGTCTTTTCATCCATGAATATTGTATATGTTACAACTGGTGAGAATTTTTATCATCTTTTTTGCCTTAAATAATGTTTTATAATTATCTCCATGAAGTTTTTTCCCATCTTTTATTCTTCATTCCTAGATTATATGTATGTTTTTTGTTGCGTTTGTAAATGGGATTTTTTACTTTCCCATTGTCCAGTTGGTTACTAATCGATATGTCAGAATGCTATTGATTTTTTTAAAAATATATAAATATTATATGGAGCATAATGTCAAACTCTTAATTTGTTCTAATGGTTTGGCTTGAATTTTCTTGTGTTTCATGTGGACAGTTCTATCATTTACAAATAAGCTAGCAGAGAGAGCCAGCATCCTTGTATTGGTCCTGACTTCCATTGGAATGCCTCTGAAGTCTCACTATTAAGTAGGATGTTTCCTTTTTGCTTTTTGTAGATATTCCATTGAACTTCTCTCTGCCTTGCTTGGATTTTTATTATAAGGAAGTATTAAATTTGATGAATGGCTTTTCTGCATCTGTTGAGATAATTATATGTATTTTTCTTCAATATAAAAATGTGATTTATTGCATTAATTAACTTTCTATGTTAAGTCATCATTTCTGGATGAACTCTGCTTAGTTGTGACTTTTATTAATATGTGCAATCCTGAATTCTAATCTAATATTTTTTAAGATTGTACATATATGTGCCTAGGTGAAATTGAAATTTTCTTTCTTCGTACTATACTTTTCTGGCTTTGTGTCAAAGTTTTTTTTTTTTTTTTTTTTTTTGAGACAGAGTCTCACTTTGTTGCCCAGGCTAGAGTGAGTGCCATGGTGTCAGCCTGGCTCACAGCAACCTCAATCTCCGGGGCTCAGCGATCCTACTGCCTCAGCCTCCGAGTAGCTGGACTACAGGCATGCGCCACCCATGCCCAGCTAATTTTTGTATATATATTTTTAGTTGGTCAATTAATTTATTTTCTATTTTTGGTAGAGACGGGGTCTCGCTCAGGCTGGTTTCGAACTCCTGAGCTTGAGCAATCCGCCCGCCTAGGCCTCCCAAAGTGCTAGGATTACAGGCGTGAGCCACCACGTCCGGTCATGTGTCAAAGTTTTATAGCTAGAGAAATTCTTCTATTGAATCTAATATTTATTCCTTTATGAATAGACTGTCTTCTCCTTAGTAGCCTTTAAGATTTCATCTGATACCTTGGTCTTCTGTATCTAGATTTGAATATACAGACACATATATAATATTGTTCCCTTCTGCTCAGGACCTACAGAGTTTGTTTTTTTGTTTTTTTTTTAATTCAGAAAAATTCTCACCAGTTATACCTTTAAATATTATTTTAATATTGTTTAAGCACTGTTCTTTCCTATGTCTTCTGTTAAACCAGGAATAGTTTCTGTTGCAAGTAACAATATCTGACTTACTGTACTTTGGACTATAAAGACATTTACTGTTAGCAAGAAGTCTAGAGATCTGCTATCTCAACATTGTCATCTAGGGAATTAAATTTTTCTTGGCTTCCCCTTTTTTTTCCCTTCTATCAGCTTTCTGACAATTTTCTTCATCTCTGCTTTCTTCTTGTTTCTTTAAAAAGAATCTTTTTTTTTCCTCTGGCTATTTTCAAGATTTTCTTGGTTTTTGGTTTTTAGCAATTATACTTTGTTAGGCCTTAATGCGGTTTTCTTTGTATTATTCTGGGTGGAATTCATAAGTATCTGTGAATTCATACTTGAATCTGACTTTGCCTTTTGTTAATTTCAGAAAAGTTTCAGCCATTGTTTCTTCAAATATTGCTTCTGCTTATTGTCACTTTGCTCCTTTAACTCAAATCACATATAAGCCCTATATTTCAATGTACTTGTATCTTACTCTCTTATCTATATTTTTCCTTTTGTTTCTCATGCTTCATCCTATGTATTTTCTTACGAACTCTCTTCTAGTTCACTGATATTTTTCTTTCAGTGTGTATAATCTGGTCTTAAACCAGTCATTGAGTTCATAGTTTCAGGTTTGTTTGGTTTTTAGTTTTAGAATTTCCATTTGGGCCTGCTTCATAGTTTCTATTCTCTGCTGAAAAATCCCAATCTTTTCTTTTTTCTTTTAATATAGTAAGCATAGTTGTTTAAAGTCTGCCTAATAAGTCTATTATCTGGATCCCCTATGGAGCTCTTTGTATTGCCTGATGTTGCTCTTTTTTTTAACACGTAATTTTGTCATCATATAGGCCCAGTTATTTTTTAATGAGTGCTAGACATTGTATATAGACAATTTAAGGTGATTTAAGGGATGGTATCTTTCTCCAGAGACTTTTACTTTTGACCAGAATTTCAGGCCACTAGCAATCTAGTATAGCTTTAATCCAATCAAGAATTAAGCTGATTTGAAACTGGTTTTAGTTCCTGCTAGGGCTAATCTATTCCTGCTTACCTTTTCACCCTTACTCCTAGTGTATATCCCTTGAAGGTCCCAAGTGTGGGGGTTTACCATGGCCCTCCTCTTTAGGATTCTCAACTCCAGTCTATGTCTCCTTAGCCAAGGAAACTAGTAGAAACACTGCTCAGCTTCTCATCCTGACAACTATCTCTTCTGAAATTGGCCCTAGTCCCTAGAGAAACATCTCAAAATATCATGCTCTCTGTTTTTTTGTTTTCTCTCCTGGATTTTGAGTCCAGAATTCCTCAGTGCCTTGTTCTTTAATGCTTCAAACAGATATTTTTCTATTTTTTTTCCTGCTTTTCTAGTTGTTTTCAGAGGGGGGTTAATCTGATTACCTCAACTACCATTACTTAAAGTGAAATTTCCAAGTTCTACATTTCTATTCTGCTCTGTAGTATACAGCAACTAATTTTCTTCTTGTTTAATAGTTGCAAGACAGCTCTTGTGGCTGTGGGAATCATGTCTAAGATTTCTAATGGAATTTTTAAAAATATTTACCTCTTTTTATTTCATTTCCCTTTTTATTTCACAAATGTTGCTTCATTTATCTCTTTGATAATTTTAAACATATCTAGAATCTTTGAGCTTTTATATATAATTAGTTTTCCTTTGAATGAATTTTATTCTTCTCAGTGATTTTTGTTGGCTTGGTTTCTTAGTGTTTTTACTTCTTTGTGTGTGATATTTTTTATATGCTTATTTTGAATAGGAATTTTAGAGTTCTGTTTTCTCTCCTTTTGGTCTTCCATATTCCCTTGTCTCTGTCCAGTAGGTTTCTTGTTGCCTCTACCTATTCCCTCAGCACCACCACATATAAGAATTAGCTATAGGCTGGCGCGGTGGCTCACACCTGTAATCCTAGCACTCTGGGAGGCCGAGGTGGGCAGATTGCTCAAGGTCAGGAGTTCAAAACTAGCCTGAGCAAGAGCAAGACCCTGTCTCTACTATAAATAGAAAGAAATTAATTTGCCAACTAATATATATAGAAAAAATTAACCGGGCATGCCTGTAGTCCTAGCTACTTTGGAGGCTGAGACAGAAGGATCGCTTGAACTCAAGAGTTTGAGGTTGCTGTGAGCTAGGCTGATGCCACAGCACTCACTCTAGCCTGGGCAACAAAGCAAGACTCTGTCATAAAATAAAATAAAATAAAATAAAATAAAATAAAATAAAATAAAATAAAATAAAATAAAATAAAATAAAGAAATAAAAATAAAATATTAGCTGTAAAAACAATGGATTAGATTAAGGATATCACAGAACAAGTCACTGCGCCGGTAGTTAGCTTGTTTCATTTCCTGGGCTTGAGGCTTTAACAAAGTCTTACCCCTTTCTTATGTTTGTAACTTTCTAAAAATCTTAAATTGTTGTCACCAAATTTTATAATCTGATATTCTAGAACAAAAAATACAGTGACCAAAATTAGCTCACTGATTTTAACAACAGAATAGACAAAACTACAGAGAAAATTAGTGACTTAGAGCAGTGCTACTCAAAATGCGTTCTATAGCTACTAGTGTCTGGACTGGCTGCTGTTTCCCAAAGTCAATAATAGCAGTCCACAATAAGATGTGAAACTTGTGCGAGAATGTAAGCAACTTTGACACTAAGCACACTACTTAGTTCAAATGGCATTTTCTTGATAGCAATACTTTGTGAAGAAAGGATTTGTTGATTTGCATTATGGGGCAAGCTCTTTATCTGTTGTGGACTGGACCTTTGAGTAGCAGTGATCTAGAGGATAATTGGGAAAAAAATATCCAGAATGAAGCACAAAGAGACAAAAGGGTGAAAATATAGAAAGGAAAGGAAAGAGATTTAGGGGATGAAGCAAGGTATAATTTGCAAATAGAAAAGATGAATAGTCCTATAACTGTTAAAACAGTGCATCTCAAAATATTTGTGTTGATGACCAATACTTTGATAAAATACAGTAAAAACAGCAGTGTTAAGCTATTTTAAACACTTAATCTTCATTTTCTGTACTATTCTCTTTATAGACTGGTACAAATGGTTCACAAACTAGTACTGGTCTATAGACCATAGTTTTAGTGGCATGGTACTAAAAGAAATTGAATTCATAATTAAAATCTTTCCCACTAAAAGAATTCTAGTTTCCTATGACTTCACTAGTGAATTTTATAAATATTTAAGGAAGAAATAATTATACAGACTTTTCAGAATATAGAAAAGAAGGAAATATTCCCTGACTCTTTTTAAAAGGCCAGTGTAACCCTGATAATCAAATCTGACAAAGACATTACAATAAAAGAAAATTTCAGGATAGTCTCACTTGTAAACTTCAATATAAAAAATCTTCAACAAAATACATACTGGCAAACCAAATCCAGCACTATATTGTGGCCTACTTGGTTTTATTTCAGGAATGCAGGGCAGCTTTAACATTTGAAGACTAATGTCATTTACCATTTTAAGAGAATGAAGGAGAAATATATCATCATCTTGATAAATGCTAAGAAATCATTTGATAAGGTTCAGCATTCATTCATGGTAAAAACTCTTAGCAAATAGCAATAAAAAAGGGATTACTAAATTTACAACAAACTTATAGCAAATAATAATTCACAGTGACATGTTGAAATTTTCCCTTTTGAGGTCAGAAATGAGGCAAGGATGCCTTCTATCACTTCTAGTCAAGGTGTAATACCTTAATAGTTAAAGCTATAAAACTGAAAAGGAAGAAATAAACCTATCATTATTCATATACAATGTGACTGCAAATCCTTAAGATTCTAGAAAATCCAAAAGAAGGATCCAAAACAAGGTTTTTGGATATAAGGATCATATACAAAAAAATAAATTATTTCTATATAATGGCAAAAAAGTAATTTTAGAATGGCGCCATTCACCATGGCATCAATAAAATTAAATATATAGGACTAAATCTAAAGAAAACCCTCTACACAATAAATTATAAAACATTACTGAGACTCAATAATTTTTTTAAAACATTGAGAAAAACCTTTAAAAGACCTAAATAAATGGAGCATTTATTGCATATATGGATTGAAATTGTCAGTATTATAAAGATGTTGATTTACTTTAAATTAATCTACAGATTCAATGTAATCTCAAACAGAATCTCAAAAGGGTTTATTGGGAAGGGTGGGTATAGACTTTGAATCTCTGATTGTAAAATTTATATGGAAATGTAAAGAGTTAAATAGCCAAGACACTCTTGAAGATGAAGAACAAATGTCGGAGGACTTGTTTTATTTGATATTAAGACCTATTGTAGGGGCAGTGGGCGACAGCAGAGGCAGCCCGCTGCCTGCGCACCTCATGGCTGTGTGGGCTGTGCTGGCCTCACTGGTGGAGTTGGGCTTTGCCAAAGAGGTGCTGGCGTGGCGGCTACGTAGCAACCAGTTCCCCAGCAAGGTGGATAGGCGGCTGGGCAAGGCCAGGCTGCCAGGGCCTGGGGCCTGGCCTGCGCACTCTGCAGCTGCCGGTTCGCCTTTCTTCTGCAGGTGTACATGCCACTGTCCCGCCATGACAACATCTTCCACCAATGCCTGCCTCTTCCTCTTCTGCTGTCGTCACCTTTATAAGAATCAGCTACCCAGGAAAAATGGCTTTTACTCATAGGGGCCACCTTCTGAGAATCCCCCATAAAAGGAGAAGCTGTGTGTTTCCAGCTTAAGTCTGGCACTCATCTCTGAAGGGTTTGTGGCTGTTTAGGTCCCCAAACATGCTCCCGATCTTAGAAGGCACACTACTGCTGTAAGGTGCATCAGGCTCTCAACTGGAAATCAGGATACAAGCAGGTGTGTTGGCAACCAGATTGTTTTGGACCATGCAATTCCAGACCACAACTTCATTTTTCTGAATTGGAAATTGTAATAGAAACAGAAGATGACATTATGCCTGAAGTTGTGGAAAAAGAAGATGCTGCAGAGATTGTGGGCAGCGTAGGTGAAGCACTTGAGGAAGAACTAGATTCCATGGCAAAACATGAATCCAGGGAGATAAAATTTTCCAGAAGTTTAAAACTCAAATAGCCCTTGAACCCAGAACAGAATCTCAGATATGGCAGAGGTCTTGCCCCCATCTGGATTTCTGGTGAAAATATCCCTCAAGAAAAGGATATTCCAGATTGCCCCTGTGGTTCCAAGATAATATTTGAATTCCAAATCATGCTTCAGCTGCTGAACTACCTGAAGGCCGACAGACTGGGCAGGAGTGTGGACTGGGGCATCCTGGCTATCTTCACCTATGCTGAGAGTTGTAGCTTGGATACTGGCTATACAGAGGAATATGTGTGGAAGCAGGATGTAGCAGATTTACCTTAAGGGCATCTTAAAGCCTTAAAAAATATTAATGATCTTACACCTTATAATTCCTTTTCTAGGACTTTATCCTAAGGAAATAATTATACCAGAAATAGAGGCACAGAGATACAGAGATAGAGATGTTGCTTGAGGCATTGTTTACAGTGTCTAAATATTAATAAAACAAAAATGTCCAATGACAGGGAATTAAATAAATTTTGGTGTTCCATAGTGGAAGGCTACACAGTCTTAATGATGCACATCTATGTGGACAGTAAATAAGATATAGATATAAAGTGACACTAAATACAATTATAACTGGTATTCATTGTATGACCATATTTTTATAAAAATATTTATACATGTATATGTGCACAGAAATAAATCTAGAAAGACAAAATTTAAAAAGACCTATTATTAAACTATAGTAATTAAGATAGTGCCATTTATGTACAAGGATGAACAAATATCTAGTTATAACTAACCATGAGAAAATGAACAAATGTCTTAAAGAAACCACAGATTAAAGATAATACAGTCATGCACTGCATAATGATGTTTCAGTCAACAACAACAATACATGTATGACAGTGGTCCCATAGGATTATAATACCATATTTTCACTGTTTTAGATGCACAAATACTTACCATTGTGTTATAGTTGCCTATACTATTCAGTACAATAACATGCTATACAGTTTTGTAAACTAGAAGCAATAGGCTGAACCATATAGCCTAGGTGTGTAGTAAGCTACATACCCTATGGGTTTATATGAATATACTATGTGATCACCAAATGACATATTTCTTATGACATATCCCCATCATTAAGTGACACATAACTGTAATGCCAGGATAAGTACATAAGAGTTCAGTCAGTTATTTTAACTTATTCATTTTGTATTAGTGAGATTCTAAGCATCTGAATATTAGAGACTATTTCTAGCTCAAAACATCATCAGTAGAATCTGTCATAGCACTAGTTATATAGGAGGGGTTTAATAGTTGCTTTGAATTGAATTTATTGTGGCTTAAGTAACTATTTTGAATCTTTTTTGGTTTTAGATCTGCTGATTTGGGTCCTACTTTAGTGACAAGACCTGGACAACCAACACTTACCAGAGTGCCCCCACCTATTCTACCAAGACCATCACAGCAGACGGGAAGCAGCAATGTGAACACTTTCAGACCTGCTTACAGTTCGTTTTCCTCTGGATATGGTGCCTATGGAAATTCATTTTATGGAAGCTATAGCCCTTACAGTTATGGATATAATGGTTTGGGCTATAATCGCCTCCGTGTAGATGATCTTCCACCCAGTAGATTTGTTCAGCAAGCTGAAGAGAGCAGCAGAGGTGCATTTCAGTCCATTGAAAGTATTGTGCATGCATTTGCCTCTGTCAGTATGATGATGGATGCTACCTTTTCAGCTGTCTATAACAGTTTCAGGGCAGTATTGGATGTAGCAAATCACTTTTCTCGATTAAAAATACACTTTACAAAGGTTTTTTCGGCTTTTGCATTAGTTAGGACTATAAGGTATCTTTACAGACGGTTACAGCGGATGGTAGGTTTAAGAAGAGGCTCTGAGAATGAGGATCTGTGGGCAGAAAGTGAAGGAACTGTGGCTTGCCTTGGTGCTGAGGATGGAGCAGCTAACTCAGCAAAATCTTGGCCAATATTCTTGTTCTTTGCTGTCATCCTTGGTGGTCCTTACCTCATCTGGAAACTGCTGTCTACCCACAGTGAAGAAGTAACAGGTAAGGAAACGGACTCAAAAACCATGTAACAGTCTCAGATTTCAAGAATATATTTGTTAAATTAACTTTCTTTATGTTGACTTGTATTTACTATTTTGATCTAATTATATTTTAAGTTAAGACCTTCAAAACTGGAAGAGGAATATGTAGCAAAAACATGTTTGCTGATTTATTCATTATTAGTTCAATTTAACAGTAAGCATTACCTTACTGTTATCAAGATACTAAAACTTGGTGTTGTGGAGTATACAAATATATGTAGGGCATAATCCCTATCTTTCTCAAACTTATTTGAGTATATGTTAAGACACATATACAGGTAATTGTAATTAGGCAGAAAGAGTATGGTAAGGGCCAGGTGCAGTGGCTCACGCCTGTAATCCTAGCACTCTGGGAGGCCGAGGAGGTCAGGAGTTCGAAACCAGCCTGAGCAAGAGCGAGACCCCGTCTCTACTATAAATAGAAAGAAATTAATTGGCTAACTAATATATATAGAAAAAATTAGCCGGGCATGGTGGCGTATGCCTGTAGTCCCAGCTACTTGGGAGGCTGAGGCAGGAGGATCGCTTGAGCCCAGGAGTTTGAGGTTGCTGTGAGCTAGGCTGACATCACAGCACTCACCCTAGCCTGGGCAACAAAGTGAGACTCTGTCTCAAAAAAAAAAAAAAGAAAAGAAAAGAAAGAGTGTGGTAAGGACTATGACAGAATATTTTTTCAGCTTTTTTTTTTTTAATTTTTAATTATGGGTACATAATAGTTCTGTATGTTTATAGGGTACATCTGTTTTGATACAGAGATACAATGTGAATTGATCAAATCGGGGAAATTGGAGTATCCGTCACCTCAGGCATTTAACCTTTCTTTGTGTTAGGAACATTCCAGTTCCACTTTTTTAGTTATTTTAAAGTGTACCCTAACTTATTGTTAATTATAGTCACTTTGTTGTGCTATCAAATATTGTTCATTCTATCAAACTATCTAACTATATTTTTGTACCCATTAACCATCCCCACTTTTTCTCCCCATTATCCTTCCCAGCCTCTGGTAACTGTCATTTTTGCTCTTTGTCTCCATGACATCAATTGTTTAGCTCCCACATATGAGTGAGAACATGCAAGATTTGTCTTTCTGTCCTTGGCTGCTTTAGTTCCATTAATGTTGTTTCAAATGGCAAGATTTCATTCTTTCTTGTGGCCATATAATATTTCATTGTGTACATGTACCACAATTTCTTTGTCCATTCATCTGTTGATGGACACTTAGGTTGATTCCATAGCTTGGCTATTGTGAATAGTGCTGCAATAAAAATGGGAGTGAAGATACCTTTTTGATGTACTGAATTCCCATCCTTTGGATATATACCCAGCAGTGGGATTGCTGGGTCATCTGGTAGTTCTAGTTTCAGTTTTTTGAGGAACCTCCATACTGTTCTCCATAGTGGTTGCACTAATTTACATTCCCACCAACAGTATATGAGGGTTCCCTTTCTCCACATCCTCACCAGCATTCATTATTGCCTGTTTTTTTGATAAAAGCTATTTTAACTGGGAAGAGATAATGTCTCATTGTAGTTTTGATTTACATTTTGCTGATGGTTAATGGTGAGCATTTTTTCATACACCTATTGGCCATTCGTGTCTTCTTTTGAGAAATGTCTATCCAGATTCTTTGCCCATTTTTTAATTGGATTATTTGATTTTTTCCTATTTAGTTGTTACTTTAGTTATTAATTCCTTGTCAATTGGGTAGTTTGCAGATATTTTCTCTGATTCTGTGGATTGTCTCCTCAATTTATTGATTGTTTCCTTTGTTGTGCAGAGGGTTTTTAGCTTGATATGATTCCATTTGTCCAATTTTGCTTTGTTTGCCTGTGCTTTGGGGGTATTACTCAAGAAATCCTTGCCCAGACTAATGTCCGGAAGCATTTCCCTAATGTTTTCTTTTACTGGTTTCATAGTTTCAGGTCTTAGATTTAAGTCTTTAATCCATTTGGATTTGATTTTTGTATGTGGTGAGAGATAAGGATCTAGTTTCATTCTTCTGCATATGGATATCCAGTTTTTCCAGCACCATTTATAGAAAGAGATTGTCCTTTCCTCACTATATGTTCTTGGCACCTTTGTCAAAGATAAGTTCACTATAGATATTTGGATTTTTTCTGAGTTCTCTGTTCTGTTCCATTGGTCTATGTGTCTGTTTTTATGCCAGTACCATGCTGTTTTGGTTACTGCAGCTCTGTAATATAATTTGAAGTCAGGTAATGAGAGTCATCTAGTTTTGTTGTTTTTGCTCAGGATGGCTTTGGCTATTCTGGGTCCTGTATGGTTCCATATAAATTTTAGGATTTTTTTTTGTTTGTTTTTTGTTTTTGAGACAAGAGTCTCACTCGCTTGCCCAGGCTAGAGTGAGTGCCGTGGCATCAGCCTAGCTCACAGCAACCTCAAACTCCTGGGCTCAAAGGATCTTTCTGCCTCAGCCTCCTGAGTAGCTGGGACTACAGGCATGCGCCACCATGCCCGGCTAATTTTTTCTATATATATTTTTAGTTGGTCAATTAATTTCTTTCTATTTTTGGTAGAGACGGGGTCTCGCTCAGGCTGGTTTTGAACTCCTGACCTGGAGCGATCCACCTGCCTCAGCCTCCCAGAGTGCTAGGATTACAGGTGTGAAAATTTTAGGATTCTTTTTTCAATTTCTGTGAAGATTGTCTTTGGTATTTTGATGGGAATTGCATTTAATTTGTAGATTGCTTGGGGTATTATGGACATTTTAGCAATACTGATTCTAAAAATTTTGAAGATGGATTTTTAGCAATCCATGAGCATGGAATATCTTTCCATTTTTTTGTGTCCTCTTCAACTTCTTTCATCAATGTTTTATAAAACAACTTTCATCAAAGTTTTCATTATAGAAATCTTTCACTTCTTTGATTAAGCTTATTCCTAGTTATTATATTTTATTTGTAGCTATTGTAAATGGGATTGCTTTCTTGGTTTCTTTTTTCAGAATGTTTACTGTTGGCATATAGAAATGCTACTGATTTTTGTGTGTTGATTTTCATATCCTGTAACTTTATTTGTTTATCAGTTCTAATAGTTTTGGAGTGGAGTCTTAGGTTTCTATAGATAAAGAATTATATTGTCTGCAAACAAGGATAACTTGCCTTTCCAATTTGAATGTCCTTTATTTCTTTCTCTTATCTGATTGATCTAGCTAGAACTTCTAGTACTGTATTGAATAAAGTAGTGAAAGTGGCCATCCTTGTTGCAGATGTTAGAGGAAAGGCTTTCAGTGTGATACTAACTATGGGTCTGTATATGGCTTTTCTTGTGTTGAGGTAACTTTGTTCTATACACAGTTTTTTGAATTTTTATCATGAAGGGATGTTGAGTTTTATCAAATGCTTTTTCAGCATCAGTTGAAATGATCATATGGTTTTTGTCCTTTGTTCTGTTGATATGATGTATCACATTGATTGATTTGCATATGTTCAACCATCCTTGCATTCCCCGGATGAATCCCATTTGATCATGATGAATAATCTTTTTAATGTTTTGTTGAATTTGGTTTGCTAGTATTAATATTTTGTTGAAAGTTTTTACATCTGTATTCATCAGAGACATTGGCCTATAGTTTTCTTTTTTTGTTGTGTCTTTGTCTGATTTTGGTATCAGGGTGATCCAGGCCTTGTAGAATGAGTTTGGGAGTATCCCTTCCTCTGCAATTTTTTGGATTGGTTACATAGGATGGGTATTAGTTCTTCCTTGACTGGTAGGATTCAGCAGTAAAGCCATCAGGTCCTAGGCTTTTCTTTGATGGGAGACTTTTTATTACTGCTTTTCTTTATTGGTTTATTCAGGTTTTGGATTTCTTCCTGGTTCAATCTTGGTAGGTTGTATGTTAGAAATGTATCTATTTCTTCTAGGTTTTCCAATGTATTAGCATACAGTTGCTCATAGTAGTCTCTAATGATCCTTTGGATTTCTGCAGTATCAGTTGTGCATCAGTTATAATGTCTCTTCTTTCATCTCTGATTTTTTTTTAATCTCATACTTAAATACTGATCTCTGATTTTATTTATTTGGGTCTTCTCTCTTTTTTTCTTAGTTAATCTGGCTAAAGGTGTGTCTATTTTGTTTATCTTTTCAAAAAACTTTTTGTTTATCTTTTGTATTTTTGTTTCAATTTTACTTATTTCTACACTGATCTTTATTATTTCCTTTCTTCTACTAATTTTGGGTGTGGTTTGCTCTTGTTTTTCTAGTTCTTTGAGATGCATCAATAGGTTGTTTATTTGAAGCTTTTCTACTTTTTTTATATAAGCATTTATTGCTATAAACTTTCCTCTTATTGCTACTTTTTCTGTATCCCATAGGTTTTGGCATGCTGTGTTTTTATTTTCATTTGTTTCGAGAAATTTTTAATTTTCCCTTTTTTTTCTTTCTTTTGCCTAGGCTAGAGTGCCGTGGCATCAGCCTAGTTCACAGTAACCTAAAACTCCTGGGCTCAGGCAGTCCTCCTGCCTCAGCCTCCCAAGTAGCTGGGACTACAGGCATGCGCCACCATGCCCAGCTAATTTTTTTCTATATATTTTTAGTTGTCCAGCTAATTTATTTCTATTTTTTACTAAAGATGGGGTCTCGCTCTTGCTCAGGCTGGTCTTGAACTCCTGAGCTCAAATGATCCACCCGCCTTGGCCTCCCAGAGTGTTAGGGTTACAGGCGTGAGCCACCATGCCTGGCCTTTAATTTCCTTCTTAATCTCTTCATTGACCCACTGGTCATTCAGGAACATATTGTTTAAATTCCATGTGTTTGTATATTTTCCAATGTTCCTCTTGTTATTGATTTCTAGTTTTATTCCATTGTGGCCAGAGAAAATATTTGGTATGATTTTCATTTTATTAAATTTTTTTGAGACTTGTTTTGTGGCCTAACATTTGGTGTATTCTTGAGAATGATCCATGAGCTGAGTAAAAGAATGTGAATTCTGCAGCTGTT